TTTAAGTCCAATATGCGGGCTAAGAAGTTTTTCCAATTGCATTGATCATTTGAACTCTAGAGCTCCTGATCCTGAGGGCACGTTGTTTTGCTCCTCATTAACCATAAAAAAGTAAGGATGGTATTGCACTTATTTTAAAAGCTATTTTCTAAAGATTGACTATGAAAAACATGGTCATTTTCCTCAATTTGAGTATGATTTCTTCTATTTGCATGTAATTTCATGAAATGATTATATTTAGACTGGTTCTGTTTTAGTCATAACCTTGTAAGGGGGTAAAGCAAGGTGGGAGGGAATCTGAAAATAGTAAACTTTCATGTTGAACTGGTCCCACCTGAATTTTGGAAGTGACATCATAAGCTCTTTGATGACCAATAAGGATCCATGCAGATTGGTATCAATCTGTATCGAACACCAAAACAGTTTTGTTTATAGAACATTTCTTAGTCTTTTTTTCTCTTACTGAAGGGCTTTTTTTTTTTGACAGTTTGGAGAAATGTATTCTTGTCTATAAGAACAACTCTTCCCTTTCAGCTCTTATTTCCTATTAAATACAACTAACTATAAGGCAAGATAACAGATATTTTGAAATGAGTAAAACCCAGCTTCTTCTCTCAAATGGCTTACAATGTAGCCTTTCTTCCTCTTCATTTTTCACCCTCTCCCTCCCAAGCAAATTTACTAAAGTTGAGAATCCTCTCCTCCCTGTTCCTGTCTTCTCTTCTTAGAGAAACCTCCCGGTCCACAGCCTGATATATAAGATGCTCTGTTTTTACCCATCCATGCCAATTAGACAAATGACTCATGTGGGACTGAGAGGTGTTTCTCTCCTAGAAAATGGGAAATGGAGTTAGAAAAGACTAAGGCTGCTTGTCCTTGTTTGGAATGAGAATCCAGGTGAATCAGGGTGTTTAGGTATATCACACCGAAGCAGAAAAGGCAGCTCCACAGACATGGATGTACACAGAGATGTAATGACACAAAAGCATGAAGTTCACGAGTAATGAAGTAAAGGTACAGGACTGCCCTTCCAGTCCATGCTCCACTCCATTAAGAAGCTATGCTTCCTGTGGTAGGACCTTGTGGGGCAGATGCCCCAGGGCCCCTGGATCTTTCCAATACATTTCCCCTGATCAGCTTACACTTATTGAATGGGTTCCTGTTCCTTCAACCAAATGTTCCTTCTCTAACACATAACTAGTGAACTTAAGATCACAACAGAAAATAAATTCCAGCAAGGGATGGCAAAAAGGGCACTAACTCAAGAGTGTGTAGACATGTGATTTTTAGATTAGATTTTTCTAGCAATGCTACAGTGATCAGATAACCCAGATTTTCTAGGCAAGTCATGATGTTTAAAAATCTCATTACATTGTTAAAAGAACATTATAAACACATGGAGGCAGGAGTGTGTTGATAAATGTTTAACATGTCTCAGCTCTCTGGCAAATAAAAATCATGACCTGATATGTAGCTTTTGCCAATTTCCATGGTATAAATACTTCTATCGTGGTTGATTTCAAGCCACTGAACGATGAGAGTTAGAAAGAGATACCAACAATCAGCCCTTACGAATGAGTATAAGATGGCTGCCATACACCACTATGTAGGACACACATTTTGTTATTGGAGAGACTTGGGTTTCCAACATAGATTTGCCCTTTCATTATCTATGAAGTGGATTTACATTTAAGCCTCCATTATCTATAAAATTGTAATAAAAAATAATAACCTACCACACAGTAAGCTGTTGGAGGAGGATCAAATAAGATATACTGCAGGGATATAATGGACAACTTGGCAACTACTATTAATAATACTGTATTGCATATTTGAAAGTTGCTAAGAAAGTAGATCTTAAAATTTCTCATCACATGAAAGAAACATTGTAACCATGTGTAGTGATAGGTGTTAACTAGACATTGTGGTGAGCACTTCCCAATATATATAAATATCAAATCATTACATTGTACGCCTGAAACTAATTTAATGTTATATGTCAGCCATAATTCAATTTAAATTTTTTTAAATAAATAATAATAATGAATAATTTTTTATTTTATTTTTTTAATGTTTATTCATTTTTGAGAGAGAGTGTGAGCGGGGGGAGAAGCACAGAGAGATGGGGACACAGACTCTGAAGCAGGCTCCAGGCTCTGAGCTGTCAGCACAGAGCCCGATGTGGGGCTCAAACTCACAAACTATGAAATCATGACATGGGCTGAAGCTAGACACTTAACTGACTGAGCCACCCAGGCACCCAGATGAATAATTTTTTTAAAGCATATGTCTTATGCAAGACTGGAAATATAGGTAATCAATTAACAGTGATAATTACTGTTTTTGTTTTTGTCTTTGTTGTTATTATGACCATTACTGTCAGATTATGAGTATTAGTTGTAGATTGGATAATATAGTCCTTCTAATTATTACCAATTTCCTGAATGATCTTAAATAAATCTTTATGTAAGTCAATATCCTTATCTGTAAAATGAAGTTCTAAGTTAACTCTATTCTTGCCTTCAAATTCTAAAATTCTATAATAACATACAGTGAAACTAAGTATATGTGAAAAAAAGAGAGAGATTTGGGTTGAGGGTAAAGGGAATGGAAAGTGATGGGATTCTGTAGGGTTGGACCACCTCCCAAAAGCCAAAACCACCTCAGGAGGTAAAGCCATTAAGTGTGATCAGTTCAAGGAGGGCAGTTATTCTCTGCCTCTAGCACCTTCCAAAGTATACAAACTACAGCATTATCTAAAGTTTAAACCTATGCTTCTAAATGATGAAGCATCTTGATGGCTTGATTAGGAGCAAGAAGACAGATATAAATCCAAGCCAAGAAGATACAGAGAAAAGGCTAAAGAGTCTTCCTTTTCCCATTTACCCCAAGAGCAAAATAAACATGTTAGACTAGGGCCACCAACTACCCCCAAGGACTCTGACTCACTTACTTGGTGCACAAAAGGAGATGGCGTGATCAACCTCATGCTACCTTATTTCCTTATTTCCCATATTCCCAACACACACATACATGCACATGCGCACATGCACACATGACACACACACGCTTCTTAGAATATGTATATGCACACACAGAGGGAACAGACTGGTCAAACAGCAGATTTATCTGCTTGTTGGGGAGGGTTTGGGCACAGAAGTTGATTTTTAGTGAAGCCTTCAAAACAACCAGTTTACTTCAGATTACAATAGTAAAAGCATCTCTGCTCCTGATTAAGAGAAAGGGCTAAACTAAATCAAGGAGGAAGAATGGGAAATGGAGCCCCAAGAGAAGAAGGACTAACTTAAAAGGGATAGGAAAAGAATACAGAAAAAATTATTTTCTAAAAAGGAAAATCAGGTGCGCCTTGGTGGATCAGTCAGTTAAGTGTCTGACTCTTGATTTCAGTTCTGGTCATGATCTCACAGTTTGTAGGTTCGAGCCCCGCACAGGGCTCTGCACTGACAGGATGAAGCCTGGAACCTACTTCAGATTCATTCATTCATTCATTCATTCATTCTTTCTCTCTCTTTTCTCAAAACTAAATAAATAAACTTAAAATTTTTTTAAAAAGGAAAACCAAAGAAGAGGTCAATTGGAAAAAAAAATGAAAAGAGGAACAAGATTGCAAGAGGAGAGACATACAGTCAAGACAATGGACAAGAGAAAGAATTAGCCATGAGTGAATTTTTTACTGACTTTTTTTCTCACAGCATCAGGTATTTTCTAATCCCCAGAAGGGTAGTAGTAAGTTTATGGATGGACATGCAGCAACTCTGAGCATAGTTCTCTCTGTCTTCAGTATGGACTGAGAAGGTGCAAGGAGACACCCTTTTGTCATATAATTTACATTCAAAGAAACTTAAAAGGCAGGAAAGGCAAGCTGCTTGCTGCATCCCATTTACAATCCTGTAACACTGGAGCCAAGTACCCAGAATATTCTGGACAGATTAATCTTTGCCAAAGTCTATATAAAGATGAAAAAATGCAAAATTAAATTGATTCTGTCACTTAAAATAAAGAGTAATTACTTATGGAAGGAAGGAAACCAAATAAAGTAGCAAGGAAATTCTCTGATTTAGTGAAATTCATAGAAATGAAAAGATTTTCTATAAGATCTGTTATATGAGCTGTAATTTTCCAAGAGTGCAGACATGGTATTTGATTGGAACCTTTGATCAACTCTTGTTAAGGTTGTTGCTCCCTCTTATCATTGCTAGCACAGGATAAAATTTCCACATCCTGACATAGTCATATTGCACCATAAAGAAAACACAGTCAACCTGTTTGAAATTGGGCTCCAGATTTAGCACCAGATGATTTGAGCTTTGCCTAAACTTATCTTTGGGTCTGGAAAGTAATATTTGTTTACTGCTTAAAACACACCATTTGCGAATGAAATGATCATTCCTGAATCACAACGCTATAAAAATGTTCTCTCTGGGTAAAATCAAATGAAGAATTAAATTCTTTTGCAGTGAAACTGGGACTATCCTTACAGTCAATTTAACTACTTTGATGGAGTGAGAAGGCACACACTTAAATATAGTTAAAATTAAAGATACTTTTTTGCTAATGTTATCCCTAAACACTGAAACTAGGTTTAGCTTTTACTTCCTACCTTAGACTATATGGATCTGTAGGGTCTTCTGGCCTAAGCACACACCAGAACATGGATAAGTTATAGTCAATTGACAAAATAAGAATTAAATAAAAGTCAGAAAATTAGAGACAGCAAAAATGAAAAAGTAAAGGGCATCTCTTTCATGATAACTAATAAATCTGTTGGCTCAACACATCGAGGATGTGAGCTAAGCTTTCAGAAAGATGAAAATGAAGGAGGGTTTTTCCCTCTCCACTCCAAATCAGATTACAACGTGCACACAAAAGGATCTGCAAATAGAAATAAGAAAATTCCATTAACGTGATAATGATATCCTGAATGACCTGAACAAACAAAAGAACTCTAGATGTAATTTGTCCATCATTTCCTTTTCCAGATTTTGTGAATGCCTGACTTGAAAGATTTAGGAAAGACTGCTCCTAGGCCAGGTTTGTTCCATCTGTCAGAGAATCCCTACAGGACAAATTAATTTAACAAAATGTGATTTAAATCGTGATGTTAGATTGTTTCCACTTTCATTAATTAAAAATAATATATATTAAGAGTCAGCCTCAGAGATGCCTTATGCATGTTAGACTAGGTCTGAATTGAAGGGTACTCACTGGTCAAACATGTTTGACCTTCCTGGAGCCTGCTCTCTGCCTCCAATAAACCACTGGACCATGACAGGCCACTATTAAAATGCACATGTGATGTGAAGTTAGTAACAACTTTGTTTGAATGAGATTCTATACTCCGGTCTCATTCCTGCCCCTTGCACAGGACCACGATGGGCCAGAACTAGGTCTTGTGTGGATAGTTCCCTCAAATGGCTCAAAAGGACAGGATTCAGTTAGTAAATCCAAAGTCTACCAAGGATCAAGAGGCAAATGAGGGGAGCTATTTTTATCTTCAAGTCCAGGGGGGGCTAAGATGCAGGTAGATACAGGGGATGAGACCAGAGAGAAGAGCTAGCAGACAGTGAGATGGCAGAGGGGATAAGAGCAATGGTGAAATAAAGGGAGAAGACTCTAGAAGTCATAGAGACAGGCAGGAGATACTGGCTCTCCTCTGTGCACCCTGTATGCCACAGGGCTGGGGACATGGTTTACACATAGATTTGAGGTGAAAAGTTTCCCAAGAAAAGTTAGAGAAAGTTCCAAAGCAAAAGGAGGAATTAATGCAGTAAAATAATGTGATGAGTATAGTACATGTGTTAAGTATCACTAATTGATCGATGGCACTGCAGTGGAAAAAGTCTGTGTGCAGCATAGGCCAGGAAAAGGGGTCTGTTTGTGAGGCACCCTGGTCTTCTGAAGATAGATCTACCTGGCCAAGTCACAGAGCACTAAAGCAGAAATCATTCTTCTCCCAGAGCTCAATATAGAACAAGGGTTTTTAGAACATGGGCTCTCCAGAAAGACTCTGAGTTTGAACTCTGGCTCTGTCACTTAGCAGCTCTGTGACTTTGGACCAGTAACTTCAACCTTTCCTTTAGAAGTAAGACTAGCACCTACTTCAAAGGGCTGTTGCACAGATTAAATGAGTGAGTAAATGTACAGTGCTTAGGAAAATGCCCGGTACATAGTAAGCACTCTACATGAGCTATTATAATTGTTCATTAGCATAGTTGATACTATATTATGAAAGATAGAAAAGGATTAGCAAATAGACCCCTAGCCACTGGAGTTTATGTTTCTATAATGCAATGCCTAATAACCCGATCTGCTTTCTGTAGTGGAGGAGATACCTTTACTCACCTTATCTGCTTTTTCCTTAATAATATCATGTCAGTAAATTAGAATCTCCCAATTCAAAGTAAGGTTTAAATGTAAGTTATAATTTATAAGTAATTTTTTAAAAAATATTATATTATAAATTATTATCAATTGACTTGTTGAAACAATTTTGATATACATTTGACACTTCTTGCATTACAATAGTGTTGGAAAGGTTACTCTACATGTATTTATTCAGCCCAGAGAACCCTAAAGGACAAAGTATTACAGAGATACTTCCTAGCATCATTTGCTTTCATTCAGAAAAAAAGCTCAGTCTCTCTTTTAACCACAGGAGTTTTCTTACGAAGTGGTTCCTTAAACCAGTTTGTGACTCATCCTCCTGCCATATTCCTGAGGTGGATCATGGAACACAGCAACCAGCCATTTTCTCCAGCTCGAACTAAAATTGGGCTATTAGCTAAAGCCGTGACACTAGCAGACCCCAACCCCAGACAATCTGTGCTTTAACCAGCTCAGCAAGTCATTTTGATGCATGCTCAAACTTGAGAAACACTGGCCTAGAGAAGCTTGACCACAACCTGACAGTCTCCTTATTGAACTTGCCCAAGGTCACACAGTGATAAGTGGGAGAACCCAGAACAAGGGCTCACATTCTTACCAGTAAATCATGTTGCTTTACCCTTCTTTGTGCCACTTTCAGAGGGGGTGGGAGAAGCTTTGGAAATTAAACTATGGAAAAAGTATCAAATTCCATTTTAAAAGCATTTACGGTAAAAATGGCAATTTTCTCAGTTTTCTACAACCTAGCATATTTTGACTCCCATATCAACTAATCAAATATTTCTTCAGAAGCATTTCCAATGCATAAAACCACCAGATACAATCTGCCTTCTCCTAAGAAAATTCAATACATGAAAATCTGCTTACAAAACAGAAAAATCAGAGTTTTAACTTTACAAAAGAATTTGTCACCTAATTTCTTTTCTTTAAAAAACTAGTTTCCTATACATTTATACAGTGGTTCATTTTACAAAATTTTAATATACATGCAAAATTTAGGAGGCATATCAACTAAGTGCTCAGTCTCTTATAGAATTGAATCATTCATTATCTCTCTCATTAATTCTCTGTAGTTGTGTTCATCATTTTAAAAATAAGAACTCTACTTAAAATTTTGAGGACAGCTAGGAGTCACCCTAATCTCTTAGGGCAGTGGTCTCCAAGTCTGAGATACATTGCAGAGACCTTATTTCAATACAGACTTCTAGGCCCCAATCCCAAGAGTTCTAACTCCATAGGCCTGGGGTTGGGCCCAAGATTGGACATTTTAAACAAATTCTAGGAAATGCACTTTGAAGACCACTGCATAGAGAATTTCCAGAGGAGAGATGAATAAAAATTCCCTGCAATATTCTTCCTCAATTTTCAAACTGTGCTATGTTCATAATTCAAGAAATAGTTATTTCCTCAAAAACATAGTTAATAAACCCTTATCACCACCCACGAGGAGACTAACTCAGACCTAAAATCAGAAAATGAAACAATAGTAAATCCTGACCACACACACTTGGTAAATACCCAGATTAAACTAGTTTTAAGAAATATCATCAATAAAAGGGAAATGAACTGCCCTTCCTGCTTTGGGAGGAAATTTTAAAGAGGTTACCCTTGGCCACCTATGAGAGGTTTATGATACTGAGTCTCTAGCTATTAGCACCTTGATGAGGTGCTTCTCCATACAGTTATACAATTCAAGAAGAGACAATGAAAATCAATTAACCAAATAACACAATTAAAGATAGCATTTAATGAGCACTTACTATATTTCATATGTTATTATCTCATTTCATCTGCCTGATGCTCCTGTCCAATAAAGAAGATGAAGTCTATTTTGCAGATGCAGCCAACATGACTGAGAGGAGTTGTGCCAGGTAACACAGTGGATAAATCACAGAGCTAGGGCTTGAAGACAGATTGTGAGATCCCAAAGCTTAGGATCTTCTTTTTACTCCATGGTGACTATCACATAAAATGAAGGTTTGATCCTCCCACTCATCAGAAAAAACATAGTCCCTGAGTGCAGAGGCTCTGACATCTCCTTAACTTGGATATATTAGGCACAGAGCCTCCATGAGTTTTAATAGTGTACCTGTTTTCTATTGCTATATAACAAATTACCCCAGCAGTCTATAGCAATAGCCATTTAATTGTTTTCAACTCTGTACACCAAAAATCCAGGTGGGCTACACTGGGTTCTGTGCTCAGGATACCACAAGATTGCAATCAAGATACTAACCAGGCTGGGTTCTTCTGCAGACATTCTGAGAATAAATCTTCCAACCTTCATCCATGTTGTTGGCAGAGTCCAGTTCCTTGCTAGTTGTCAGCTGTCACTTACAGCTTCTAAAGTTCATACCCCCTCCTTGTCATGTGGCTCCCTCCATCTTTAAGCCAGCAATGACTTCCTCTTCTGTTGCTAGCCAGAGAACACTTTTTGCTTTTAAAAGTTTCATCTGATAAATGTCCACCCAAATAACCTCCTGTGTTTAAATCAAGGAATTTAGGGACTTAATTATATCTTCAAAGTTCCTTCACAACAATATGTAGATTAGCATTTGATTGAATAAGCAGGGATCTGAAATCTCTGGGGGGAAGTGGGGTAAAGGGGACATCTTTAGAATTCTGCTTACCACAGAAGGTTAGAATTTTACTTGATTCCCAAAGGTCAGTGATTCCTAAAATGTACATGTTATCATAACCCCTCTGTCTACACAGGTAACTTGGAGACTATTGGCCTATCTCCAGAGAACCTAGGATTTGCTATACACCCTTGCTGCATCATGTTAATTGATGAGTTTCATCCCTAAGAAGAAATCCTACTGTGGGCAGGGTCCAGGATTCACTACCTCATGGACATTTATCCAAATTCTAACTTGAGAATCAGCCAACAAGATAAATGTCCAGGTAGGGGTACCTGGGTGGCTCAGTCAGTTGAGTGGCCAATTTTGACTCAGGTCATTGTCTCAAAGTTCATGGGTTCAAGCCCTGCCTCAGACTCTATGCTGACAGCTCAGAGCCTGAAGATTCCTTTGGACTGTATCTCCCTCTCTCTCTGCCCTTCCTCAGTTCTCTCTCTCTCTCCCTCTCTTCCTCTCCCTCCCTCTCTCTCTCTCTCAAATAAACATTATTTTTTTTAAAAGACAAATGTCCAGGTTATTAAAGAAAATTATTTTCTCATAGATCGTGTCTTTGAATAATTATTTTAACTATTTGTTTTATGTACAGATGTAATCTTATTCTCCTACTAGACTAGATCCCTCAGGAAGAGAACTGTATCTTAAAAAATCTTTGTGTTCACAATAGTGCCTAGCAGAGTGCCTGATATTCAGAAGATACTCAGTATATGTTTGATGAATTCAATTAATTATTTGCAATAAGGACCACTGCTTACTATTCATCAGGTGTTAACATTACATTTTATTTTCCTTTCCCTTCCCTTTGGATAAAAACTAGAGAAGGTGGCTTCCCTTCTTAAAAGTAAAACCTATAGATGCAATCAGTATAATCATTCAAAGCATATGGTTAGTGTTTATAATTGTAAGGGTTTGACAGTGTTTCCTACACAGTAATTTTTAAGAATCTTTGGGGCTGCAAGTTTAAAGCTTTGTAAGCACAGCTCAGCTATTCATTTTAAATGTAGAAAAAATATAATTTGGTGATTTTCTTGTCAAGAAACTTAAAATGTTTAAATGTTTTCACTCATTGAGACTGTTACATAATTTGAGGGTCTCAAGTCCACAAGGAATCCCCTGGCTGACTAGAAAGAAACACTGAGATGAGGCATATCCCATGGAAGCCACAAATTTCTGCAAACAGAGAACTTAAACTTGAATAGCCTACAATGAATCAAATATTTTTTTTGTCTCTCAAAGTTCTGCTCGTGCTGGTCTGGTCTGGTCTGATGTCCTCCCACCCCCAAATTAACATGCTGAAATCTTAACCCCCAAGTGATAGTGTTAGGAAGCAGGGACTTTGGGAAATTCTTGGGTCACAAGGGTGGAGTCTTCATGAACGACATCAGTGCCCTTATAAAAGAGAGATCCCCGACCCCTTCCACTACATAAGGACACAATGAGATACCCAGAAGAGGATCCTCACCACACTATGACCTTGAATTTCCAATCTCCAGATAGTAAGAAATAAATTTCTGTTGTTTATAAGCTACCACATCTGTGGTATTTTGTCATAATAGCCCAAACAACCTACACAGAAAATGTATGTGGGTGCATTCGCTGCTCTGCTGTAGGTGGAAGGCAGCATGGTGCAGTGGCCTACGGAGCCAAGATAACAGACCTGTAATGCAAATCCCCATTCTGTGGGGCTTTGGCCATGGAACTGAACACTTTAGGACACTGGTTTCCTTATCTATAAAATGGGCACAGTAATAATTAACCTTTAAAATTATTATAAAGATTGGAGATCATGTAAATAAGCTATGTGACACAATAGTTCACTCCGTGGTAGCTACAATGATCATTGTCGGTACCTTTTACCAATTCATAAAAGACTCTCCCTTAAACATAAGATTATATTTATTTGAGTTTCTCCTTTTTCTCAGTGCTAGATTTCATTTTCCTCCATATTCACTTAAAATTTCTCAAACTTCCAATTCCTAGGAAAAATACAGAACTAACTTCTAAGTCGTGCTGTGTGTGTGGGTTATTTGCGCAACACATTTTCCACGTGTGCTGTGTGTTACGCTCCACTGGGACAGAGACACTAGAGGACATTTGTTGCAGTGTCTCTCTGCTTCATGTTGGTATTCAAGATGTATGAAAGAATAATAATGGTCATCAGGACTACTGCATACATATTCTACATAAAAGAAAAATCCAACTGGTGTTACAGAGCTCCTGGTCTTAGAATCTCTTTCTGCTTCAGCTGATATATAGTGTAAATCTAAAACTTATTTAAAAACCTGTCTGGGTAAGACAGCTTTTAATTAATCTTCTCTTAGTTTTTATACTATATGGTACCTGGAAGATGCAAGATCAATCACCACCGTATTGTAATGTCGAGTTGTGCGACAGAAAGATAAATGAGCTATCAAGCTTAGCATTTTGATAGCTAAGTTAATTGAACTAGCTCCAGAACATATTCTAGATTGGTAGATAAAGTTGTGAGCTGGGGCATTGAATGTTATAACTGTGAGTGTGGTACATTATTAAGAAATCAGGAATTTGCTAATTCCTCTCTGTCCTTTATGGAAATTTTAAATCCAGGAGATCAGAGAGGTGTAGCTGGGTGATGAGGTCATATTGCTAGTTCTGTCAGACCAATTAAGACAGCTTTATTAATTCAGACTTTTAATTGAGCACTGTGACAAGGTCTGGGCTGATCTGAAGTTTCCTCTGCAGTATGCATGAAGAAAAGCTTGGCCAAGAAAATTAAACTCAATTTATGTTTAAGGGGAGACCCTGTGTAGAGTTTATTTCCTTATGGGACCTACTAGGATTTTTTAAAATCATAAATTGTTTTCAAATTATGTTTTCTCAATTATAGGGATTTTGAACTGATTCTTTTCCTTGGAGGAGAGAATATCCCATCCATTTATACAATGATGTTTCAATCACCAAGAATAAGAATAAAATTTACTGCCTGGTTCCTCAAAACTACCAGTTGAAATTGTAATAAAACCTCAAACAAAAGTTTGACAGTTTCCCCTTCCTTAAAAGATAATGAAATCAAATTGCTATTAGGCAAAAACTCAACCTCTACCCAACTCCCACACTTAACCCATCCCTAATCTAACCTAAATTAAAATACTTCTTTTGATTTCTTTTCACTCATTTGTTTCCTTTTTAACAAACATGCATTAAGCACCTCCTGCAAATATGCCAGGTCCTATGCACACATGAGTTATTAGCCAGTCACAATTTATGTCACTATTATATTACAGAGAAACATGCAGTTTGTTAAAAAAAAATATATGTGTGATACTTAATTTATGTGTCAACTTGACTGGGCTACAGGGTGCCCAGACATTTATTAAATATTCTGGGTGTGTCAATGAAGGTGACTACAGATGAGATTAACATTTGAAGTGGTAGACTGAGTAAAGCAGACTGACCCTCTGCAATGTGGATGGGCCTCATCAAATCCACTGAGGACCCTGGAATAGAACAAAAAAGAAGAGTGAGGGAGAATTCATTCTGTGTGTCTGACTGACTAGGGACATCTATCTGTCTTCTGCCTTTTGACTCAGACTAGGACGAGAATTTATCTCATCAACCCTCCTGGGTTTCCAGCTTGCCAATCACAGGTCTTAAGATTTCTCAGCTTCCACTATCACATCAGCCAAGTCCTTATAATAAATACATATGGATTCTATAATGAATATATAAGTATACATTATATGTTATACTATATTTTGTGTGCAAGTGTATACATTAGTTCTGTTTCTCTGGAAAACCCAGACTGCTACAGAGGACAGGTGAAAACTGGAACAACCATGCCCATTAGTTATACAATGGAAGTGACAGGACATCTTATAATTCACATAACACTAACTTCTTCATCCACTGACATCAACCTTCACCTTCAGAAATCAATCACTTCAAAAACCCTCTTCTGATGTTCTACTCTAAGAACTTCTGACCCCAACTCATAAGCAATAAAACCATTACTTCCCTAACCTGTTGTCATTTCAAAGTTGTCTATGTGGTGTCCCCTTTACTGCACTGGGTCAATAAACCTCATTTTTCCTAAATCAAAGTAGGTTTTTTTGTTCATGGTGGAGATCATTATTTTCACAAATGTATGAACTTAAAACTCAATGTCACCTTAGAAACATTTAAATCTAACTCTCAAAATTTACTATCCTACATAAAGGTAAAATGATTCACTCAAAGTCCTCCGGCCAGTTACTGGCTTAGCCAAACAGAACCCAAATCTTGAGATTACAATAAAAAGAGTCTCCCTTGCTTTCATATCAAGTATACTTAGAAAAATGCTAAAAATATGCTCAGCTTTAAACAAATCTCTGATTCATTAAACAAATCTTTCTAGGTACACTTTTACAAATAAAATTCAATTGTTTTTAAAAATCCTGCCATGTAAAGAATTAACACACACACACACACACACACACAATCCTAACAAGAGGTGGAAAGAACCTCTGCATTTAACATATACACATGTGTGTGCCAATATGTTGTAAACTTTCATGAAGAGTTTTATTCAAATAATGTTCAGTTTTGGTTTCACTTATATTCAGTAAATGAAAGCTTCAACTCTAGTTGTATAATCTAAAAATCTAAGAAACCTAATGGACAGTCATCTTTTCAGAAGGGAGAAGAGAATAATGGTTAACAATAGGACTTCAACATGAGCTACACCCAACTTCAAATCCCCAGCTCTGCTACCTGAAAGAGAATTCTTAAAACTCTCTTTGTCACCATAATCTCTTAATAAGGGTAGAATGACAACAAAGAAAAATAGATGGCCTCTTGGGTTTGGAAAAATTTCTCAGGATCATCTTTCCAGGTTTGAGGACAGGGAATATATGGGCAGATATTGCCAGAAGTAAAACCATAGTGACCATATTTAGAGACAATATTTACAATGGATATATTTTAAACATAATATGATTTCATTTAAAGTAAATAGTTAATGAAAGATAACTCTGCATTATTCAGAAACACCTATCTAAAAGAATATTTTTATTCCTAAAAGCTAACCCTCAGAAATCAAAATCCTGACTCTAGCAAAAAGATAAGACAGTTGAACAAATAGGAATTACTATCTTGACTCCTTCTACTACATCTTGTCAGGAAACAACCACACAGGCAAGCAGCTCTTGCCTCCTTAGAACAGCCTTACAGAAGACGGACCAATCAGGGCCTGCTCTGGGTTGGGGAACAAGAGCTGGTGGGGTGGAGCAGGGGAAGTGGGGTGCTGACTATGACTGGTCTGAACCTGGGTGTAAGCACAGGCTGC